GTCTTAGTGAGAGCAACTACACTTGCTGGCAGCAGCAAAATACAAATCTGTTAAACCTCACAATCTTTTTAATTTAATCTTTTTAACTGAACCGTCAGCAACAGGCGCGCAACAGTCTTTAAGTGCTCTTTGTAATCATTGATTATCACAATAATTCTGTTAGCGTGTTACATAAATAGAGGATTAGATGGATAATCATTATAATAAACATAAACACACATTATGCAACACTTAATTCCAAAATAGTTGGGGCACCGTGTAAAATGTAAATGGCAACAAAATGCAATGATTTGGAAACCTCCTGAGAGCAAATTTTAATCACAATTAAAAACATGGTTAACGTGAGACATTTTACTATTTCATACATAATTTCAGCTCATTTTAAATTTGGCAGTAATATATCCCAACAGGGTTCACTGTGGTATCCATAAATGCAGGTTAAACCTTTATTGTGCAGACAAGCAGCCAAAGGTGAACACAATCCAGAAATGCTGTCGTCTTCTCTGTTATGTTTTTACACTTTTTTAAATTCTGAAAACATGGATGGAAAGAGACCATCTGGCTTGTTCTCAGGCAACAGTGCCTATGACATTTGCAGTTTGCAAAAGGGCCATCAGTGCTGAAAGGTATATAATGGCTTTAGAGGAAAATATGCTCCCATAATGTCTTTTTTCAGAGAAGGCTGTGTGCATTTAAGCTAGACAAAGCTAAACTAAAGTGCCTACTGCAGCTATCGTGGCACGGCTTGGCAGCAGAAGACTCCAGATTCGGAGCATCATGATACAAATAATACGACAAAGAAGACACAGGACTGTTTAGCAGCAAGAATCCTCTATCAAACAAGAATGGACCAACATTCATCTCCAAAACTCCAGCAGCTGGTCTCCCAGATGTTTACCGACTGAGGTGAGATGCTTAAAATGGTACATCTTCTTAATTTAAACACTGACTGTTTTATAAGTTGTGCTGTGGACAACATATAAGATTCGGCTTTTATTTACATTTTTTTACAGCGTCCCAACTTTTGTGGAATTTGGGATATATTAGTATTTAACCAAATAACCACATTTTTTCCTTTCGAACTTACTCACCAGGCTGTACGCTCTCACACTCTTGCGTGTTACACTTTCGGGTGCCCTCAGGCGGTGGCTCGTGGTGACATTGAGCTTGATCAACTTCTCCATCTGTCTCAGCCCTGGTGTCAACACATTTAATAAGTCGATGCTGCACTCCAACTCCGCAAGAAGCTGAACACTGCAAGAAGAGAGGCAAACAATTTTAACGTGTTTTAAAGGCGAGTGAAACAACGTTTATCTTGTACAGTAATATCAGTGTCCCCCAAACTCTTCTCCGAGTTTATGATTGACAATTAAGGGCCACATTTCAACTGACACCAGTTAAAATATTACAAGATGTGCAGAACTGCTTCAGCTGTCAGTTAAGAGGATAGTATATTTTTGACATTCTCAATCTAAAAGGTGAATCTGAGAGGCTACACTGCCTCAGCGCTCCTGATTGGCCCCGATTCACTGATTCTCCCTAAACTCTACTCAAACACTTGTGCTCATGTGGGTGTCTCATGAAATCCCCTGAAAGACTCTGGTCGGGTGACCAGGTTATATTGGCAATACACTGTGCATAGTCTGCAATGAACTCTTTTATAGGATTGCAATTTTTGTTTAAGGATTTCTACTTCAGGAAAAAA